CTACTACTACTACTGCTACTACTACTACTACTACTACTACTACTACTACTACTACTCCTACTAACTACTACGACTAACTACTACAACTGCTACTTCTACGACTGCTACTACTACCGCTAACCACTACTACTACTACTACTACTACTGCTACTACTACTACTACCACCACTACTACTACTACTACTACTACTACTACTACTACTACTACTACTACTACTACTACTACTACTACTACTACTACTACTACTACTACTACTACTACTACTACTACTACTACTACTACTACTACTACTACTACTACTACTACTACTACTACTACTACTACTACTACTACTACTACTACTACTACTACTACTACTACTACTACTACTACTACTACTACTACTACTACTACTACTACTACTACTACTACTACTACTACTACTAACTACTAACTACTAACTACCAGCGCGCGGCTTCCGCGGCGCCTGGTGCCGGCCCCGCGGCTGCCGCGGAGCTGCAGGGGCCCGGGGGCCCTGCAGCTGTCGTTTTGGTCACGCAGAAGATCCAGGCGCGCATCGCCTCCCCAGCGATGGAGTGCGCAGGGCGATTCGGCGCACGCAGTGACGGCTCGTTCAAGCGCGAGGAGGGGGCCCAGCGCGGCGTGCGGGGTGCCGTGTACATGCGCGTGGGCAAGTGTCGCAGCATTGGTAAGTTGCCACTTGATCGACGCTGTGAGCCGATCGCCGCGAGGTCCTGGAGCTCGACGGGGCATCGCTCGAGCAGGGCTGGGAGTCAGAGAGCGCCCTCCTCTGCAGGGCCACGAGAAAGGGGACGTCGAGGGGCGCATCGAGGGGGGGGGGCGTCAATGGGGGTGCATCAAGGGGGGGCGCCAAGAGAGCGCATCAAGGGGGCGACAGAGCGCGGAGGTTGAAGCGCGCAGAGTGTTTGCACCCCCTGACGCCCGTGCCTGGGCGTCTGCGGACCTCACCCTTCGGTCCTGCGCCAAGGCATCGCAAGCAGCGGCTCGCACGATGGGCCCCCGGGGGGGGGGGGGGCACTCCGTGGCCCCAGGGGGCCAGCTCCGGCAGCGCTCGCCCAAAAGGAGGGGGTAAGACGGGGCGGGCCTCTTCAGAAGGCTCGGACGGCACGCGTGACCTTCTCCCTGGCATCGCTTGGACGTGTGCATTTGTTTTTCTCGGCGAGAACCATCGAGGACCATCCTCGACCAAAGAGCAAAAAAAGCACGCACGAAACCGAAAAAAACACAAAAAATGGACGTTCGAGCGATGGCGAGTCTCAGATGTGCTCTGAGCCATCCCCCGGGGCACAGGAGACGGAGGCACAGAAGACGCTTCGGAAGGCGCGAGGGCTTCTGAGAAGGCCTGCTCCATCTCACTTCCCCCCCGGCACGCCGCCGAGAACTGCACAAATGGGTACTCCGAGTTTCTTGATAAGCGTCGGGGGGGCGCCACCCCCGCCGACAGCCCCGCATCGACCCCCGTCGCAGGCAGCCACCGCGCGCCGAGGGCGCTCCGACCCCAGTCGCGGCGCGACGACGAGGCGAGGTTGACCCCCGTCGGGGGGGCACCCCCCCACGCTTACGAAGAGAAGCCCGGAGTAGAGGAAACGTGTCCTCCAGAGGGTAGCAGGGAGCGCTGGATTAAAGTCGGGCCTGTCCCTCTACAAGGGGATTTTCGACGATAAGTAAAAAATGCCCCAAAAAATAATCCAAAAATAGTCTGGGGATTATGTTTTGTGTATTTTTTGACATTTTTGGAATATTTTTGGTGTATTTTTATTTTTTCGTCGAAAATCCCCGGACACGCCCGACATGACGCTGGGTTGAGAGCGCCGCGCGGTGGGACAGCGGCTCGGCACACGGCACACGGCACGGCGCGCGCCTCACAGCGTTTTTTCCAGAACCCTGTAGGCTGGTCCCGTGAGGCTGCGGGTGCGGGGGGGGGGGGGGGGGGGCCAGCGAGGCCAGGGGCTCGACGAGGTCTTCCTGCTCGGCGGCTCGCATGACTGGCCCTCTGGCGTAAGGCTGCGGGGGCGGGGGGGGGGCCAGCGAGGCTCGCATGACTGGCCCTTGGTGGGGCAGCGCCGTGACGCCGGGGGCCAGCCGCACGGAGTCGGGAAGAGGAGACGTGCCCTCCAGAGGGGTGCGGTGGGGGCGGTCGGCTCTGCGGGGGCGGGCGCTCGAGGTGGGGCCCATGCCCACGGGGGGGGGGGCCACTCGACAGTGGCACGGCACGGCACGGCTCCTGAGAGGTTCCACGGAGGCAGGGACGCGGAGGGACGGGGGCGGAGGGAGGAGAGAGGAGGCAGGGTCGTCGCCGCCGACCGAAGGAGTTGTGCCAAATGCAAATACGATCGCTGGCAACTCTTACTCTTCCCTACAGACAGAGAGCGAGCGAAACAGCCACAGAACGACCAGCTAAAGGGGGGAGGGAGGGAGGGAGGGAGGGAGGCCCTCCGCCCCACCCCCCCCCGCCCCCCACCCCCCCGCAGGGCAACCTTGCCGCCGCGCAGCTGCTGATCAGCAGGGGCTGCCTCGTCGACAAGGCCCGCACGGACACGGGAGCCACGCCGACCTACATCGCGGCCCAGGGCGGGCGCGCGGAGGTCGGAGGGGGACGTAGCTCGCCGTCGTCGCTCGTCGTCGCCCTCCCTTCCCCCTCCCCCTCCTCCTCCTCCTCCTCCTCCTCCTCCTCCTCCTCTCCTCCTCCTCCTCCTCCTCTTCCTCCTCCTCCTCCTCCTCCTCCTCCTCCTCCTCCTCCTCCTCATTGGTGGTAAGTAGTCAAGGCTTCCGCGGCTCAAGGTCAAACTCCTTCACTTGGCATACTAGTCTGGCAGGCATGGCCGTGGTGGAAATCCTCCTCCTAGTCCTCCTCTTCTTCATCCTCCTCTTTCTCCTCATCCTCGGCCTCCTCCTTCTCCTCCTCCTCCTCTTCCTCCCCTTCACTGGTGAGAAGGATTGAAAGTCTCGGCAGATCAAGTTCAAACCCTTTCACTTGGCAGACTACTCTGGTAGGCATGGCCATGGTGGAGACCCTCCTCCTCCTCATCATCATCATCACCATCATCACCATCATCAGCATCATCATCAGCATCATCAGTATCATCATCATCATCATCATCATCATCAGCATCATCATCATCATCAGCATCATCAGCATCATCATCATCATCTTCCTCCTGCTCCTCCTCCTCCTTCTCTTCCCCATCCTTCTCTTCCACCTCCTCTTCCGCAGCCCCAACTAGTCTGGTATCTACGTCTATTCCTGGCCAAGTCGAACAACACCAAGCACTCGTTCTCCCTTGAGGTCTTCTGTACGTTATCTGGTAGGTTGTTCCACATGTCGTCCCAGTTGATCTCCCGCATACTAGCTCGTACAGTATCCCGTGTGTGTTCCCGTATGTTTTCCCGCACGTCTCCATCGAGCATGGTTGTACCCAGAGTCACCTACATGGCTTCCCATATGTACAGCAAGCTGTCGTGTTGCATTCACTTGTTCATTCTGCGCGTGGGGTTGATCTGCCGCCAGGGTGTCCTTGTTCTGCCTCTGGACGCCATTCCGAGATTGCCAAGTCTTGTGAGGGGGGGGTTGTGGTGCTCGGCCTCCTGGGGCCGCTCCGGGGCCCCGGGAGGCCGTCGAGAAATAATAGGGGACGAACTGGTCCCCGGGAAGTGGTCGATAGGTCCGAAGGGCCCGCACACAAAAAAAGACAGCGGCGGGGTGGGCTTCTGGACCCCAGGACAGACCCCCCCCCTTCCCATATATATATATATATATATATACATACATACATACATACATACATACATACATACATACATACATACATATACATATACATATATATATAGAGAGAGAGATAGAACAATACCAAAAAAAACACACATAACAAAAAAAAAAAAAAAAAAAAAAAAAAAACTTTATGGACGCTGAACCCGTCCCTGGCAGGGATCGAGACCTCAGGGAGCTCCCTCTCCTCCGACCTCGCACTTTGGTCATGACGCGAGCCGCTGGGGTGTTCAACCCCTTCCCCGGGGCCAGGTTTTCATCTGAAGCTTTTTTTTGACGGTTCCCGCGCGGGGGTGGAGGCCGAAAACGACGAACAAATTATTGCCGCGATTTTGTTCCGACTCCCGATCTGGGGCAGGAGCCCCCCTTCTCCAACAAAAGAGGATGCTGAACCAGTCCAGGGGAAGGAAGGAGTCGAGACCTCTGGGGGTCCGCGGCACGACGTCGGGGGTCTGCAAGGTGGGCTTGGGAAGGAGCGCGCTCCAGGACGCGCTCAGAGCGCTCTGGAGGCAACTGTTCCAGAGCGTTCCACGGAGCTCTCAGAGCGTTCTGGGACGCTCTGGAACGGCCGCGGCGACCGATGCATCCTCCAGATCCGCCGGCTCTCAGAGATCTCAGACGTATCTCGATCCGATCTTATCGTCGCCCTGATTTCGTCTCAGACCCGAGGGCGGCGGGCGCCAGAGAGGAGCCCCCGGGCCGCAGCGGAGGTGATCAGGGAGCTCGTCAGAGCTGGCGCCGACGTACACAGGCCTCTGCCCCCTCGCCATCATCGTCGTCGCTGTCTTTCCCCGCCTTCTCTTCCTCTTTCTGCTCCTCCTTCTTCTCCTCCTCCTCCTCCTCCTCCTCCTCCTCCTCCTCCCCCTCACCCCCCTCCTCCTCGTCCTCCTCCTCTTCCTCCTCCTCTTTCCTTATTGTATTGTTTTTTCTTATCATCGTTATCGTCATTTCTACGCTGCTGAGACATAAGTTGCACAGACGTTGCATCTGTAGGCCGACTTAGGCTGCGTGGCCCTTGCACAAACAAAATGCGATTGCCATCACAAGCATGGGAACACAGAGAGGCAGAGCGGTGGTGCAAGAAGCTTAACCCGCAAGGGCAAAGAGTAAACTAAACTTGCGATGGTTCGGAGCTTGGATAAACCAAGCTAACCCATAGCCATTAAGAGGAAGCTCCGAAAGGGGTGAGGTGAGGACGACCTACAGTGAATCTGGGGTGGTACGCACAGCCGTCGTGGTGGGAGCATGACTAAACCTCATTGTCCTCATCATCATCCTCATCGTCTTTCGTTACTCCTTCCCTGAGTACAGAGACCAGCCACCCTCAAGGCTGTGCACTCCGCCAGTATTCCTCTCGCCGTCGGCGTCCTCCTCGTCATCGCCCTCGCACTAGCTGTTATCCTCGTCGTTGTCGCGGTCGTCGTCGTCCTTGTCCTCGTCGTCGGCGCGGTCGTCGTCGTCGTCGTCGTCGTCGTCGTCGTCGTCGTCGTCGTCGTCGTCGTCGTCGTCGTCGTCGTCGTCGTCGTCGTCGTCTTCGTCGTCATCGTCGTCTTCATCGTCATCGTCGTTGTCCTCGACATCGTCGTCGTTCTCGTGGTCGTGGACCTCGTTGTCGCCCACCGGCGCCTATCAGAGGGGAACCCCAGGACGGTTGACACCGAGGGCTGGTGGCCGGCAGGCGACGCGGCTCGTGGAGCCCAGAGAATCAAAGTTCCAGGATATTCGAAGAAGGAAAAGTACACAAGCACAAGTTTTCGAAGATCCGCGCTGATTTCTTGGATCGGCTTTGGACTCCCCTCCCTGGCGCGCGAAAAGGGCCAGGATCTGCGCCGCAAGCGACGCCAGGGAAGTCCAGCGCAGGTCCAAGAAATCCTCTTGGATCTCTGACAGTTACGTTTACAGTTTGATATTAATGTACCTGCCTCTCTGAAGACAGAATCCAGGTTTGGGACGTTCGGTGGGCCTTTATCGGTCTCCCCAGGCCATCCTTGTGGCCTCAGCCCGAAGCATCCCCCTCCTGCGGCGACTCAATTTCTTATGCCGTGGGTTTCCGAGGATCTCGACCTCTTGACAGTGGTTTCCGAGGGATTGGCCAGCATGGAGCCCACGAGAGGTACGAGGACTGGACTTGCGCACAGACAGACGGCCCCGACCCAGACCTCCTTGGGTGTCGTGAGCAACCGGCGACGGGTGTTCTTCCCAAAAGTCTGGGCCCCTCACGGCCTGCGTTGGGCCCCGAGACCATCAACGAGCAGCAACAACGATACATACTGTAGCACGAGGCTCAATCCTTGCAGCCGAGCATATGATTGAGAAACCTCATCTTGGAAAGTTGGACCAGCGTTTCCGAACCAATTTACTGGAGCGCTCGCCCATTTTCTTGAGCACGTTCGCCCCTTCAGCGTGAACGGCAGAAATTGGCCGAGCTTTGTTTGAAGACATCGTTGGGAAGTTGGCCCAGATTATTCAACGATAGTCATCTTGATCATAATTTAGGATGAATATATATATATATATATAATGTGTATACGTATAACTTATCGACATCGTGATAGTGTATGCACAGTGGGGGCCCTCTTTGTTCGGCTTCCTTGATTTCAATTCCTTCTCCTTCGCGGCTGTTGCTTCGCATGGTGGACCCCCTTTTCCCACAGTGGGGAAACTGGCAATGTTTCTCTGAATCGCATTGGTTGCTTTCGGTGAAATAGAGAGAAAGAGAGAGAGAGAGAGAGAGAGAGAGAGAAAAAAACAAAACAAAAAAAAAAAAATGTACGGGGGGCCTGATATCCCCTCTTCCAAGTCTCCCGCCCGAAGAGGTCCCGCCAAGACCCTTTTTCTCCCACTCCTTTTACCATCTGAGAAGCGCAGATGGCAACCGCCGGCGCAGTCGCCCTGCCCATGCTCTGCTGCTTGGTATCCCAACGCGGGGGGGAGCCCGAGACCCTTGAAAAGGGGGGAGGGGGGAGCGCGACAACTGCTTGCAGACGGCACTCCGGCGCCCAGGCCGTCATCTCCCGCCCTGCTCGTCTGCGAACGTACCCCCCGTTGGGGGAAGGGGGGGGGGCGTCTCTTTCCTACGCCAGCCCGCGTGCTCCGGCTGCACTCGTCTCCACCCGCGCGCGTTCGCGGGCGCCTGCTGCGCCGGCTGGCAGTGCCGTGTGGTCGCCCAGTCGCCACCCAGGAGCGCTTCGTGGCTCGTGGATGGCCCTCTTCGTCTACGACCGTGCCCCTTCGAGGGGTGTGTCTCTCTTTCCACGCCAGTTCCCCGGAGAGCCCGGACGGGGTAAGATGGGCGGGTCGGGCCATGTCGGGTGTTCGTCAGGAGGGAAAAGTAGGAAGAGACACCAACAAACGTCGATTCCCCAGGATGAAAAAATGATGCCAGAGAAATGCCTCAATCGAAATCGTTTTAGGGCTATAGGGCTATGGGGCGGCTATTGGGCTATGGGCCACTGGGGCTATGGGGCTATAGGACTATGGAACTATAGGGCTATAGGACAATAGGGCTATAGGTCTATAGGGCTAAAGGGCTATTGGGTCGTAGGGCTACAGGACTGTGGGGCTATAGGGTTATGGGGCTATGGGGGTACAGGGCTAGAGAGCTGTAGGGTTCTGAGTCTAAACGGCTATGGGGCTACAGGACCATAGGGCTATAGGGCTTTAGGCTGTAGGAATATAGGGCTATGGGGCTATAGGTCTATAGGCATATAAAGCTATAAGGCGATAGGGCTATAAGGCTATAAGGCTATAGGGCTATAGGGCTGTAGGGATATAGAGCTATAGGGCTATAGGGTTATTGGGCTATTGGGCTATAGGCTACAGGACTATTGGTCTATGGGGCCATAGGGCTATTGGTCTATAAGGCTATAGGGGTATGGGGCTATAGAGCTATAGGGTTCTAGGGCTATAGAGCTTTAGGGCTATAAGGCTATAAGTTTATAGGGCTGTAGGGCTATGGGGCTATAGGGCTATTGGGCTATGGGGCTATAGGGCTATAAGGCTATAGGGCTATAGGGTTATAAGGCACCCGGGCACCTGGGCGCCCGGGCACCCGGGCACCCGGCCACCCACCCGGTCACCCAGGCCCCCGGGCACCCGGCCAGGCCGCGGAAATCGGCGGCAAAGTTCACCTAACCATATGAATCCGTTAGGACCCTTACAGAGGCAGGCTCTGATTGGGGAATGAAATTTGGGAAGTGGACGGGGGGAAGACGAAAGTCCAAGAAAACGTTGCAGAATGATGGGGGTCCCCCCTCCCTCCCCGCGGCTCCCGCCGCCGTTCCCCCCGCGCCCGCCGGCGCAGGCCCAAGACGGAGGGCAAGACGACGCCCCTGCTCGTGGCCGCGAGGCAGGGTCACACGAGGGCCGTACAGGACAGCGGGCGGCCAAGGGAGGAGGGAGGAGGGAGGGCGGCGAAGGGGGAGGCAAGAAGGCGGCGGAGGAGGAGGAGGGAAGGAGAAAAGAGGGAAGAGAGGAGGAGGAGGAGGAGGAGGAGGAGGAGGAGGAGGCGGAGGCGGAGGGAGGCGGAGGCGGAGGCGGAGGAGGGGAGGCGGAAGCGGAGGCGGAGGGGGAGGGGAGGGGGAGGGGAGGGGGAGGGGGAGGGGGAGGGGGAGGGGGAGGGGAGGGGGAGGGGGAGGGGGGGGGGAGGGGGAGGGGGAGGGGAGGGGAGGGGGGGAGGAGGAGGGGGAGGCGGATTGGATTGGACTCGGATTCAGCGCTGGGTTCGGGACTAGAACAAACTGGAGAGCGGTTAAAGCTCATCTATCCCCTATGCGTCGCCTTTGGCGGCCATCGGGGTTCACTTTCTTAAAGAAGCGAAGCATTTAAATTTGTACCTCTGAGGGTTTGAAGCCCGCCACACACGAGAACAGGCAGCTAAGAGAACAGACTGGAGAGCGGCAAAAGCTCGTCTAGCACCTTTGCGTCGCCTTTGGCGGAGTCTGGGTGCAATATCTTAAACATTCGCTTCCAATTGTTCCTGCTGTGGGAGCTCTTGTGTTTACCATCACACTCTTTCAAAAGGCCTTTAGCACGCTGGCCCTGGCATATGCAACCACATGTGCTGCAGACTGCAAACATCAAGCTGTCGGAGTCGTGGCATGCGATATAAATCCTATGCAAACGAGGGTTTGCGGCGATTGTGCTGAAAACGACATCATGGCCAGTGCAGACTTCCGATACGGAAGTCAACTCAGCGTAGCTTCGCTTGTAGCAGATTTTACAACTCCAGAAATTTGGCTTGCTAAACTTCCACTGGTGATGGGCTGGTCCCGAAGCCGCGTGACGGACGAGGTGGCTTTGGGACACTGGCTGAACACAGGCTATACGGGCGTGGCGGCCGGGGAGGGGGAGGAGGGGGTGGGGCGGAGGAGGAAGAAGCACCCCCGCCTGCCGAACTGACCCTATTCCCTGGCGCCGTACCAGCCGTAGCTGGTCGAAACTTGCCCAAAATCTCGTTGCGGTAGCTGTACTCTGCCCTGCCCTCCCATCGAGGCCCCGCTCTCTTCAGTCTGGAGCGGCTCCCCTGCCGGCCACGGGGTTTCGGCAGAGCTGGGAAACTTCTAGAGCTCTGGCGACGAATTTAAGGTAGGACTTCAAGGCCCTGGTAGTCTTTGCCATTGCCTGATCCTCCACCTCGGCACTCGATGGCTGTAAATGCGAAGTAGCACCTAGCTTGGCAGTTTTGCCGGTTTCGTCGTTTCCCCCACGGCGTCAAATTTTTCAGTTGAGCCTTCAGGAAATGACGCGGGATCTAAATGGGCAGCCACCTTAGAACAGGAAACACCATTAGCGGAGAGTCAACTGTACGCATCTTGATTCCTGCGTAAAACGACTTCCTATACAGGAGGGTCTCTCGAGGTTGGGAGTGCAATCCGACCACTCCCTTATAGTCTGCTCTAAATTATGTTACTAGCGGTGCGTCTGTTACAGCTGCCAACATTGCGACATGCTCAGCTGCTAGGCTACTCTTGGGCAGAAGGTGACCTACTCCACCACGCATCCTGGCGATAACCTTACCACTATCGGACAGCTTCACAAGTCCCCAACCCGCCCGGTGGAAGAACCTGTGCCCATCCGTATAGGCAAAGCCGCCACAGAAGATTACACCCCTTCAGAGCTACTTCATGAGGAGATCCATGTTCAGACCACCAGTCGTACTCTTCGTGCCCAATCCCCTCAGGGGGGCTGTTTGGAAAGACGGGCACACTTGAAAGCCTAATAGTAGATGAGAGACCACACCTGGCTGAGTGAGAATATCCAGATCTTCTGCTGACAAGAACTCGTCGCGCACATGCTGGGTTAGGGGGCACATGAACAGCCGGTGGTGAAGATCGTCCCGCACGCTACCACAGAAGCACGTTGTGTCAGTATCATATCCTAGACACCATAATCTATGTTTTGACCATTTACTCTGGCAGGAGAACGCCCTGAGCAAATTCCTGTGTCTAGCCGAGAACTCCGCTGACGCTAACAGGGATCGGAGACCTGACGGATCGAGCTGCTCCGATCGGTCGATTCCTAGCCTGTCGGCGGCCAACCTGTTCGTTCGTCGATTCCAGGCAGCGTGCATTAGCTTATGGATCACCTTCGGGGCGGTATCGGTTAGGGCGTATTGGCGTCAAGATCGGTGACTATCGCGAATGGGGATAAGAATTGCCAATCGATTCGCTTCAGGCTCAAGATTGCTGCACCTGCTGGCCTTCTCACCCCCCCCCCCAGTTGGCAGGAGGCTGCTGAAGGACTTCACGAAGTAGACGCCCCAGCTCGGAGAGAGGGTGGATAGATCTGAACCTCCTATTGCTCACTGACTTCCATACGATCGAGGCCCACTGCATCGCTGGACCCAGCCCCTGCTTCCAAAGTGGGTCACCCAAGACTGCTAGGGATATGCTGCGCGAGCGGCTCTTGCAGGAGCTGCCGACGAGGGAGATGCAATGCGTCTGGGCTACACTGAGCGAGAGAGAGCCCCACGACCTCTGCACCGTAAAAGCCTGATGCCTGAAGACCTGACACCTAGAGCTCCCTCAACGGGGCTCCAGTTTTCTTCAGGGCACGGGGCCGGGATCCACGTTTCTTGAGTTTCGAAAAACGTTCCGCTAGCAGCTTAGTTTTTGTTGGCTCTCTTGGCCCCACAGAGAAAATCTACTCCTAAGTTGTGCGTCGATGAGAGGGCCCTGCCAGCTTACTTCCCGAAGCTCGTTGTCAAAATTTCCGCGAGCCTGGGGCAGGAAGATACGATCACATATTTACGCTGGGCGACTTGGTACTCCAACTCGTGCTGGATCATGCTGATCCGCCGCCGCCGCCGTTAGCTGATTGACTATTTCCTGCTGGCTGTCGCTGGTGTTGTTACCATGAAGATCGTCGATGAACATCGTCGCAATGACTGTCGGGTGCCGCTTCTGCCACACTCTGAGCGGAGGCAAGGAATACACCTGCACGATGGGGGTAGCAAATGAGCAACCCGCTGCGATCCCGAAGTGAGGATATTGGAGTTCAACTGCCAGGCATGAGAAACTCAAAACCCTCTTGGACCCATACTGGTTGAGCACCACCGCTAGTACTGCGAGGGGGAACTGGGACGTGTTTTGGCCCTCGGCCAGACCAGTTCTCTACAGACGTGCTTGTAATAGTTACTGAGGTCTCATAGAAAGGATCCCAAAAACATGCTCCTGGACAAGGTCGTGGATTCAGCTGCCAACGACTGCAGGTATACGACCTCTAGAATTGATCTGCCAGACTGGTGGGCCATGAGGGAGTCGAAGTTCCTTGCCTCCCACTCTCTACAGACAGGTTGCCGCAACCTAGACCATATCCGGTAAGGACTGGGAAGGCAACCGATTCCACGAAAATTTGGACCTCGATCATCAGGCTTGTGCTTGGGAATCAGAGTGGTGTACAAGGCCAGCACCACACTTGGCATCTTACCCACTCTCTCCATCAGCTGTAACAGCTTGATGGCAACCAAAACCTGATCTTCTTCGAGGAGCCCGTAGTGCCCCAGGTGGAATCCGCCCCAAATCTGACTGGTCTTGCGGGAAAACAGCCTGGTGACCCCGATGAGCTGTTCGACTGATATGTTTGGGAGCTGCGCTGCATCTGATGGGTCGGCCTCAAAAGGGGGAGATGGCGTGGACGTGGACTCCCAGATACCTTCTAGACGCCGGGCTTTCCATTTCGAGAAGGGCCGAAGGCTTTGCCGAGGGAAGTAGGGCCTGGGGGGCCGTGGGCTTCCAGAAATCGGTTGGTTTTGTCCACCTGTGGACCCACCCCGAAGGCATGCCCTCTAGGTTTTCTCGCACCCATCCCTCCCATGCTTCTGCCGATCCCTTCCTCTCAACCTCCTCTTTCTGGAGGATGAGCTCGATGTCGGCACAATGCTTCGTGAAGATCTCCCTGGGCACTGTTGAACCACATCTCCCTGCCTGGGCGTCTGTGGCCAAGGCGGTCAGAAGAGCCTCGGTGTCAGTGCGCACTGCAATGAGGGTCTGCACCGATTGGTACTCTTCCGGTGCCTCGGAGAATTTGGAAATCACATTGTCGACGAAATTTTTTGATATTTCTGGGCCCGCTTCCAAGTGTCTCAGCAGATGTTGCAAGACGTTCTGGAGCCAAGTCATTGGCTTGACGAGTGAAACCCAATATTTCCGCGCTTTCTTATGCACAGCCTGCACTGGGACAAGCTTTACTCTAGGATACTGCCCCCTCCTGGAAGACTTGGGTCTCGGGGTATCCGTCTTCAGACAAACGGCATGCTCGAAATGCTTGACGAAGAGACCACACACGGCATCTAGTAAACTATGGTTGACCGTTCGGGGGAGCTGGTTAGTTTGGATAGTCTCCAAAAGACGGTCAGGATCTTCCCAGTCTGCACTTTCTGGTGCTGGCCCAAAGGGTCTCTCGGTGGGAAGCTGAGGTGGTAATGCGAAAACTGGCACCTTTTCCAAAGCCTTGACCCTTAGCGAAAGAATGACTGGTCGGTGAGGTGAAAGGAGGTAGCCCGTAGCCGATTCGATTCCCTCCACCTGGCTCTCGATGGCCGCTGACAGCATGAAGAAATCGATGGTTGTCAGACTTTTGCTGGTTGAGTAGGTGAACTTCTGGGGAACGCAGAGGATCAGACTACCTCGGTGCAGAAAGTCTAAGTAAAGCAGCCGCTTCGCAGCCATGTTAAAGTCCCCTCCTGCTAAAAGCGGCAATTCAAATTTGTCCCGGAGATTACCGGCGGCACCAAGCAACTTCATAGTTACCTCTTTTAGGCCCGTGCTGGGCTCGAAGTGGAGACTGCAGATCAGAAAGCGATCCAGGTTCTCAATTTCAAGCTTGATGGCAAGCACTCGGTGACTATAGGGGTACTCGAAATCAATGTCCTGGATCCCGACATTCATCCCCATCCGAGCACTCCTCCAGAAAACTTTGCAGATTCGAGGCTCTCCGAGAGAGAGAGAGAGAGAGAAGAGAAACAAAAAAAAAAAAAAAAAAAAACTCCATGCCATCCACGTTCCATGCTGAACTCCACTGCATTCCGGATATCATCTGTCGAAGCAGCGTGGGCCTCCTGGAGCAAAAGGACGTGATACTGGAGAATTCTATCCGACTCGATGCCATGCTTGAAAGTACGCCACGAAGTCACATTTATAGTAACCACTTTGCACTGCCAACTCGTAGCGTCCTTGCCTGGGAAGCCTGCCGGATCAAAGTTGACACCCAGCACCCCCGCCCTCCACGGGGTGTGGGGGGAGGCCTGGGGTCCGGGGCGGGGAACCCCCAACACCTCCACTAGAGCCGCTTTCGGCCGCACTTGCGCCTGGGAGGGATGGTCGGGCGGAATCTGCGAGGACCCGGGCTCCTTCCAAGAGGACTTGGAGGTCGCCTTCGGCCCTTCCTTTCTGGCTCCCGCTGCCCCCTCGGCCCTTTTTTCCTTTTCCCATGGCCTTGCCCTTATCTGAGGACTTCTTGAGGGAGGAGATGAGAGGAGTAGCCGCACCGCACTGCTTGGGATGACGAGCTTCGAAACCCCGTACCCCATGAGGGACTCTGGCAGCAAGAACACTGACCGATCCTTCTCCTGCCTCCTCCTCCTCCATGGGCGCGTCGGCGGCTGCTCCTGCTGACTCCTCAGCCCTTGCTCCTGCTCCGTCTGCACCTGCAGCGTCGAGGGCGGAATGAAGGTCCGGGGCCGGTAATGGGGCTGTGGGCGCCATACCCGGCGCGCTGTTGCGGGCAATTTGATCAAGTAGACCCGATAGTTGAAGGAACATCAATTGGACGAGATTATGTTGTTCCGGCGGCAGCTGTGGAAGCTGATAAGGAGTAGTTTGCTGCATTTGCTGGACGTGCGTGAGTAGGTCGTCCTGCTGGTCCTCAACCATGGACGCTGCTGCTGTTCGTAAGCTGGTGGCGTCAGAGACTTCCAAGGTTTTGATTTCCTGGGCCGTGGAGTCGGACTCGAGCTGGAGCTGCTCGTGGCGCTCCACCTGCTGCTTGATGGAGACCTCGAGGGCCGCCATTTCGCTAAGAATTGTAGCCAACTTCCTGTTCTGGATGTTGATCTGGTCGGCCAGCGACTTGGCCTGAACTGGTAGGGGTCGGCTTGCAAAGGTGACCGCCTTTGCGTCCTGGAGGGCCTGCTGGGCTTGAAGAAGCTCTGGCTCACCTGGCCCACAAAAGCTTGTAGCGATGTTGAGATCGACCTGGACCTTGTAGACTGGATCGTTACGGTACTTTTCACGATAACCCCATTTAGCGTTTTGGAGCCCGACCTGTTTGGGTGGGGGCATGGTGGTCGATTGCTGCTGAACGTCGCCGTCGCCGCGGCCTCCACCTCCCACACCACATGCTGCTGCATCATCCTCCACACACTTCCAACCGCCCAGTCCCAGTCCCCCATGTAGCTGAGGTGCTCCAGGGAGGCGTCGAGGAACTTGGGTAGTGTAAGTCCTTGGGGAAAATCTCCCTGCAATACTTGCACCTTCGCTTCCCCTTGCAAGGCCACGCTCAGCCTGGGCAGCGGGGCGTCGCGCATAGCCAGAAGGGGGAAGACACGGCTTCAGGAATATAAGTGCGATATGAATGAAGGTTTTGATGGGAAACCTAACAGAACCCGCGCTGGGGCACTAAAGAATGGTTGGCGAACCATCTTGGGCCGAGGTTGGAGGGAGCCCCACACGAGGAGGCCCGTGGAGGCTTGAGCCAAAATGGCTACTGCAGGCGGAGGCGGAGCAGGAGGGGGAGGGGAGGGGGAGAGGGAGGGGGAGGGAAAGGGCGAGGGGGAAGGGGTGAGGGGAGGGGGAGGGGAGGGGGACGGGGGAGGGGAGGGGAGGGGGGAGGGGGAGGGGGAGGAGGAGGGGGAGCGGGAGGGGGAGAGGGGGGGGAGGGGGAGGAGGGGGAGGAGGAGAGGAGGAGGAGGAGGAGGAGGAGGGACAAGGAGGAGGAAGAGGAAAAGGAAGAGGAGGAGGAGGAGAGGAGGAGAAAAGGAAGGAGGAGGAGGAAAAGGAGGAAAGGAGGAGGAGGAGGAGGAGGAGGAGGAGGAGGAGGAGGGGAGGAAGGGAGGAGGAGGAGGAGGAGGGAGGAGGCGGAGGGGAGGAGGAAGAAGGAGGAGGAGGAGGAAGGAGGGAGGAGGAGAAGGAGGAGGAGGAGGGGGGGTGGGGAGGGGGAGGGAGAGGGGGAGGGGGAGGGGGAGGGGGAGGGGAGGGGGAGGGGGAGGAGGAGGAGGAGGAGGAGGAGGAGCAGGGGGAGGAGGGAAAGGAGGAGGAGGAGGAGGGAAGAGGAGGAGGAGGAGGAAGAGGGAGGAGAGACGGAGGCGAGGCGGAGGAGAGAGGGAGGAGAGAGGGGAGAGGGAGGAGAGAGGGAGGGTGAGGACGAGGAGGGGGAGTAGGGAGGCTTTCTTCTCCCTTTCTTTCCGCCCTCTTCGGTTTTGATCGTGGGCGGGTGCGGGGGTGGCCCGGAACGAGGAGGGACGAGAAGGAAGGAGGAGGAGGGAGCAGGAGGGATGAGTAGGAGGAGGAGGAAGAGGAGGAGAAGGAAAAGGAGGAGGAGGAGGAGGAGGAGGGGGAGGAGGAGGAGCAAGAAGGGGGAGGAGGAGGAGGAGGAGGAGGAGGAGGAGGAGGAGGAGGAGGAGGGAGCAGGACCGCAGTAAGCCCAGGATACCCCGACGATGTTGCAACACTTCACCCCGCCCCAATTTCCCTCCTCACAGGTCCACGCGAGCAATCTTTCTCACTGCGAGGAGCCCACCCTTGAAAGACGAGGGCCACCCTGGCCTGCCATGCAGGCGAGAGCCCCGTTCAGACATTCGAACGCCTTGCACCCTTCGAGCTCTGAGGGGAGCGAAGAGGCTGAATGCTGAACTCCAAAGCCACCGTCGCGATCTCTGCGCGACGCCCGGACACGAGGGCCCTGCTGCTCTCGAGAGAGGGGAGGAGCCCCCCGGCCGGCAAGGAGCTTCTGGACGCCAGGGCGGACCCAGAGGCCCGGAGCGTCGAGGGCCACACCGCGCTGACGGCGGGGGCGTCCCGGGCGCAGGCGCGCGCGATCCGCCCCGCCTTTTGGCAGCCCGCGGGGCGCCGTCGGAAGCCTCCCTCCGGCGGTCTGTGGCGGCCCTCGGCGGCCCCGCGCGGCCATCGGCAGCCCTCGGCGGCCACCGACAGCCTTCGGCGGCCTGCGGCGGCCCTCGGCGGCCGTCGGGAGCCTTCGGCGGCCTGCGGCGGCCCTCGGTGGCCGCCGGCTGCCTTCGGAGGCCGTCGGGAGCCGTCGGGGGGCCTGCAGAGGCCATCGGCGGCAGTCGGAGGCGTTTCGGCAGCCTTCGGCGGCTGCCCGGCGACCGTTGACGCTTCCGTGGTGTGTTGCTCCGGCCTCGTCGCCTTGCTCCGATGTATCGGCCACCGGAGGCCCTCCAACATGCGCACGGGCAGAACATTATACCCCCAGGCACAAGGAAGAGACCTGGGGGCCCGCGAATTCGAACAACAATACATACATATCTGTACATACACACATACCGTCGGTGCACATCCATCCGACCCAACCCTCACCATCATATGCAATAAACACAGTTCGGCGCACATCCATCCGACCCAACCCTCACTAACCAATGTAAAAAGTAGCATTCGGTGCGCATTCCGCTGATCTTGAACATCAACCCACCCCCTGGCCCCGAAGAGCCCAAGGGAACAAAAGTCAGAAACCAAAAATACACAACAAAACAACGAAGAAACAAAAACAACAGAACGTTTCGGGCACCTCGCCGACTCTGGTTCTCAACCGAAGCGCTCCCCGGGCTGCCCCAGACGCTCCCAGGCGCTACAAGACGCCCCCCGGCGCTCCCAGACGCTACAGTCCCATCCCAAGAAGAGCGCACAGGCTCGCCGACGCCACCAGCAGCAACAGCATGCCCACCCTCAGCTTCGTTGCCCTCGTCGCCGCAGGAGGCTTCACGGAGCAGATGAATTCAGATCGCGTCGACGCGTAGACCACAAACCGGTTTTACAATGGGGTTCTCGCTCTGATGGCGCCGCACACTATTGCTGTAAACATCCAAAAAACATATATGGAGGGCGGATCGTTTTCAAATTAGAGCTCTCGCCCTGGCGCTGTGCACACTCGGCTTCCAAAGTTCCACGAGCTGCGTGGGTAGCCTGCGAGTCCTTTTTTAATACGGTGGGGGCATTGCACCAGGAGCCGTTGGAAAAGGAACCCAGGGCCTGGAAGCTGGCGGAGCTTCAATCGTGGACGAGCACGTGTTTTTTGTATCATAATGGGGCTACCGCAGGCGTTCTTCAAGTGGGGGGATGGTATGTTACAGCAGGCGTCCTTGTCTGATTGGCGGACCGATCGGCCGCTCGTCATTCAAGAGGGGACGCCCGCAGTGGGAAGGAATACTTGCATGGACTTATGAGGAGGGGACTTCGGACGGGAGGGCGTACTGAAATATCAGTTGGGGCACGTTGAGCGGCTAGTGCATCTTAAGCGAACTCCCGTCCTCATCTTCATCTTCCGTCATCGCTATCATACAGCCAACCCGCAGAATTAGGATGGGCGACCTTCCCACGGATACCCTTGCATTCTTGCCTCCTGGGTCCATCCTCGGACCCTTTCGTTGGCCGCGCCCCGCTCGAAACGCTTCGAAATGGGCGTCCAGGGCCGTTGCATCCTTATCGCGCATCCTTACTCTGCAGATTGACTGTAGTCATCATCGTCGCCGGCAGGATCATCTCATAACCATCATTCCTTGTCCTCCTTTCCCCGCGAAGCCCATCCATCGGCCGTGCTTCGCCGCGAGCACCACACGGCGCCCCCGCCCCGTTCCTTGGGTGACTTCCCGAGGCGCCGAGGCCAGACACTCGGAGGCGAGGGCAGGGGGACCTCAGCGCCAATCCAACCCTTTCCCCCCTGCCCCCTCCTTCCCCCCCGTTGCCTCCCCCACCCCGCCACACACACATCCCGTCCTTTCCCCCCTCCCACTGCCCTCCTCCCACCTCCGTCTCCCCCTCTTCCTTCCCCTCGCGTGGACTGTGGCTGACATGATATCGCAGGATAGTCCCGGCCTCCACTCCAAGTCTTCCCTTATTCCTTCGCCCCCCCCCCCCCTCCCTGGGGGACGATGGCGGAGAAGGCCAGGGGAGGAGGATTGGGAAAAGAAGAGAGGGACTGGGGAGAGGAGGAGGAGACGGAGGAGTCCAATGTCCTCCGTCGGCCCAAGCCATGGCTCAAGCTACGTTGGTTGTGGACCTCCGCAGATGCCAGATATCCAGCGACGACCTGGATGTGGGGCTTCTTCCATCGATACAGCCATAAAGAAGTGTGGGAGGTTAAAGCAATGGAGCGCAGCTCTGCAATTGCTCCGCGAAGCGTCTCAATTAGTTGTGGAAGCCAGCGTGGGCCACTATGTTGTGACTGTCGGCGCATGCGGAAGAGGGAGGCAGTGGCAACGGGCGCTGTCGCTTCTGAGCGAAATATTTGTAATGAGGGTGGAGCCCAACGCCATCGTCACCACCGCAGGCTCCAGAACGTAGCATCACAATCTCTCGCCATCACCATCGCCAACATCAACACAATACTTCCAGTACTGGGGGCAGCGTGCATCAGAATGGCGGACGGCAAACATGTTCCAGGGGGTTCTGGGGGCTCCCCGAGCTTGTCCGAGGCTCCAGGGAATACCGTGGGACATTCATTCGCCGCACACCTGAACACACAGCCCCCTCGCAAAGCTCCGATATCCTCCAGGCCCGTTTAGGGCCGCCCCCTTCGCGACCGTCTTCTCCGGGGCTCCCATGGGGGTGGGCTCCAGTTGCCCCGTCGTCCGACATCCTTCCGCACAGAGCGATGCACGGCGGTATGGAAGGGCCCCGGTCATACGGTCCCTTTGGCCGAACGGGTTGCGGCGATCCGAGGTCTCGACAAGGCGGCTCGACCCACGACGGTGGTCACAGACCATTTGGGGCTCCAGCTCGAGGGAAATCTTTGGGTAGGCAGGCACGCTCGGGCGAGGGCTCCCTATGCGTCGGTCTGACGCCAGATGCATGAGCTCTATCGCGATGATGGTCGCCTTCCTGTTTTGTTTGGACCAAGGCCCATAGCAGTCTCGAGGAGAGGCTGCGCGCGTCCGTTGAGTCTGGGGAGCCCCCCGAGCATGTTGCTCGGCAATATGTGGGCCAACTTTTTTGCTAAACTCGGTGCCCTCGAAAGTTCGGGATCGTCTACTGTGATCAAGGCACACAAATTTGAACTTGAGCGAGCGAAGGCCACCACGAGATGTCTCGCCTGCGCCGCTGAGAGGGTTGCGAGGCTTGCCACACCCGCCGTCCGTCGTCCGTTCGTGTGTGCCGTTCGTGAGAAGCGTGTGCGGAAGCCCGCCTCGCACCGACTTGGGGCTTTCCCTGAAGCTACAAATTGTCCGCAACGCATGCAAGGGGCAAGCGGCGACCCCGTCCTACCTCAAGTCCCTCTCCGAGCGGGCTTGCGAACCTCAGGGAATTGGGCCTGGCCAAGCGGTCGAGTGGGTCAACCGCGTGGCCATGTGCTCTCGATGCGGTGCGCACGCAGTCAGGCCCACTCGATGGTCCGCCGGCCTCTGTGGGGTCTGTCCTCGGGGCGGGGTGGGAGGCGGGCGGGATCCACGAGCTCAGTCTATGCTGGAGGCGGCCAAAACGGGGGAGCGGCTGGGGCCGTGAATCTGTTACGAGCTGGTGCCTGCCGCAGCGGCGCCCGCGGGCGACGGCGAGCTGCCGGAGGCGGGGGCTGATGCCGCCGCCGCCGCCATCCCCCGAGGTCTGCTCGGGAGTGCTTCTCCTTTCCTCCGATGCTGTGCCTCGCCTGGACTCCTGGCTCTCCTGGACTCCTGGCTCTCGCACTCTTGACTCGCCTGGACTCTTGGCTGGACTCGCCTGGGCTCTTGGCTCTCGTGCTCTTGCACCCCTGGCGCGGGCTCCCGCCGCCCGCGCCGGGTGAGCCGGGCGGCCTGGCGGTGACCCCTGCTCCGCGGCCCTCTTCCGCCCCGCGGGGCCCCTTTGCGTGCCCTCCCAGGGAAAGGCCCGGGGCCCGCCGGGGCCTTCCCCGCGGGCTCCCCCCGACCTGGGGAGCTCCACTCATGGCCTCGGCGGGCGGAGCGTGCTCGCACGGCGTGTCCCCCGCCCACTTTGGCGCACCCCTCACACGTCTCGTGCCTCCCAGGGGCCCGCACCTGTGGCCCCGGTGAGCGTGCTCGCGCGGCGTCCCCGGGCCCGTTTCGGCACGCCCTTCACACGTTTCGTGCCCCACAGGGAGCTGCACCTACGGCCCCAGCGGGCGTGCTCGCATGGCGTCCCCCCCTGCCCATGTCGGCACACACCCCACGCGTTTCGTGCCCAACAGGGAGCTGCACTCACGACGTCAGCGTGCGTGCTCGCATGGCGTCCCCCCCGCCCGTGTCGGCACAATCCTCACACGGTTCATGCCTCATTGGGGCTTGCACCTACGGCCCCAGTGGGCGCGATCGCATGGCGCTCACCCCGCCCATGTCGACACGCCCCATCACATGTTTCGTGCCACGTAGGGGCCTGCACCTGTGGCCCTGGCGGGTGTGCTCGCATGGCGTTCCCCTCCGATGGCTTCCACCACGAGCGAAGTGTATGCATTCGTCTCCCTGGCCCCGTTCTGCTCCACGTCGCGTTAATCCTCGTCTTCCCCCTCGCGATTCGATGTGTGAGATTGCGTGCATAGCTGGAGGACTTTGTGCGCGGCCTGGCTGCATTTCATGAAGTTGTCAGGAATATTGCAGATCCTGAAATACGTTATTGCGGATCTAGCGTTTATAGTCGTCTTTATTTTACAAAAGGGCCGGATTCTTCACCAGGCTAATGTTTTGCAGGGGATCTTGGGCGTTTAGAAGTTTGATGGTATCAGGTCACGTGGCAGATCATGGTTTCAGGCTTAAGTAGTCATGAGGGTTAGAGATTTAGGGTGTCATGGTTAAGGTGTGTGTGTGTGTGCCAGGGTGCGGACGCCAGTATTAGGATTAGAGTGTTCGGGGTACGGTGTCAGGATTA